TGTTGTATGTTGATTATCGTATTCGTACTAGGTGTTATATTATGAATATATAAAGTCTTGGACGAATAGGCCCCAAAGGTACCAGCCACATATATATATATATATCCACGTTAATTATTCAGGCCCCTCAGAACCCCACCAGGAGGAGCAGGCCTGCGCCTTTGTTTTCGCTGAGCGCCATCCTGGGGCTGAGCTTAGCGCCGTGGGCCATCCGATGGAGTTCCTGAGGAGGACACTGTGCAGAAGAGCAGGGTCTGAAAGGGGGTTATTATGTCACCCTAATACCCCAAGAATGGAGAATCCAATGGAAAAGAACATGGAAAAGAACATGGAAAATGAACTGGAAACTGCTGTGAGCCATAGTCTGAACTCCTTAGAGGTGTTTATGGGTCATGATATACGGGAGTACTACAGGGGTTATTAAGGGGGATGCTGGGAGTTTAAACTATAGCTCATATGCTGGCGTGCTCTGATTTTTTTCTTGTTGTGGACATGGCCAGGAGCCGGCGCTACCTGCAGAAACCAGATGCGGGAATGCATAATTCATCTGCGGCTTGGCTTTCGTAAGAGTCTGGTGGTCGGATGAGAAGATTTTTGCTTGCGACTGTGTGTCGCGTTTGCAGAGTGTGAGTTGCCGATCAGGCTTGTGTGATGACTCAAGATCGTTTGCGGGTGTAACCAACACTTCCCAAGCTGATGCTTTGAGGCACATCGAACAGGCGAGCTGTTGGCAGTTCCACAGTCGAAGCCGCCACATGCCTGCAGTTGATGATGTTCATGGCTGGTGGGCTCAAACCTCCACCCAACAGCTCTTGTCATATCCAGCATTGGAAGCCTCAGCAGAACCCAAGAGGCTCTCTCACCCTCTGGCCGCTTGCAGTGCATGCAGCCCCAATTCCCGTGCTGAGGAAAGTTGCAAGGGCTGCCTACAGAAGGCCACTTCGAGTGGCCTCTGGGCTAGGCCGCTTGTTTGACGACCAATTCAAACCTCTAGATACAAATCTTAGCAAAAGACGGATCATATTTGAAATCAGGGATATATTTGGAAATACAAATCTTGAAGCTATAAAAATTAATATTTGAAAAGATATTGTTGGAAAATATAAGATTAAAATCGAATTATACGAAAGATATAAATATTGAATAAGAAAAAGATAAATTGATATACGCATATTGGTCTGTATTATGCTTGAATATACGATGATTCATTATTTGTCGATAGAATATATATATATATAGAAATAATTCATATATGAGATGATCTTGAAATTCTATTATTGATAAATTTTGATGCAATTGATTTTTTTCATAATTTAAAAAATATTCTTATTATAGATATAAATCTTGGATTAATAAAAATTTTATGAAAGATAAAAGATGATCTGAAGATTTTAGAAATGATATTTAGATATATGAAGAGTCTTTCAAAGGAGATGATATATGATTATTTATTGAGAATATATTGAATTCTGATTTGATATCTTGAATTATATATAGAAAGATATTATAGATATTTTATTTCGGATATATTTTTTCGTTATTGAAATTATGAGCTTTATATATTTTAAAATAATTTTTAGAGAAATGATAGGATATATTCTTCTATATAATGGATGTGATTAATTTTTATAGATGATAGACATTATTTTATTAATTTTCTCACTTCATTTTATGAAGAAAATTCATTTTCTAATTATTTTATAAATTGATATTTCTATATTATGGTTGGATATATTTCTCATCTATTGAAAAGAGGTTATCTCGAAATCTATTTCTTATGGAGAATTTATAATAATATTATTTCGATAATAAGGAATTTTTTGATTAGGGATGATTATAATATTGATTAGAAGGAGATGATAAGATTTGAGATTGAAGAATATGAAAAAATAAAATATTCAATCGTCTTTATAGGATCTATTTCAATATATTATAGAAATTGAAATAAAGATTATTGATTATAATATATTTTTTTCTTAATATGATGATGATATTAATATATCAATGATAAGATATGATTTATAAAGATTATTTTATTCATAGAGAAATTCTAATATGAAAATATTCGATTCTAAATATGGCGAATCTGTAAGCATTGGAATGGCAATTCAATTTTATTCATTGTTGAGGTCTCTCTCATCTATTATAAGAATGAGTTTGTATGAATATCGAAAGAATTTTATATGCGGCGGATATATCGAATAAAATCATTGCAAAACGACGGATTCGCTTGAAAAATGATATCCTAAATTTTTGGCAAGTAATGAATGCTGGGCGCTTCGTCATTAGGATATTATTCTATGGGCCAATAAAAATTGCAAGTTATATTGGCATTAGAGAGAATTTAAAAGCGACCTCCAAAGTCCTTCCTTGAACGATATCTAAGCTTGCCTCAACAAGGCCCCTGGAGGCCCCTGGCCCTTCTGTACTCTAGTAAGAATAATAGGATGCCGCGAAATAATAGAGAGAAGAAGGGCATCTGGTTTGCAGGATTCTTCTAGAAATTCGTTCTCCAATCCGTGTCTTCAAATCTAAATCAAATTTTCCCAAGGCCCGTATAGGAAGATTATTCCTATAATGAATATTGAGAGCCAGCAGCACGAAAGAAGACCTCCAAATTTCCTTAATCATAGTTTGGGCGCAAAATTCATGTAAAGCGACGGGACCGCCTGAAAAGCGATGCCCCCAATTTGGCGTCCATTAGCTTATATACCGAGAGTCGACCGTAGTTCATATTGAAAATATATTTCAATCTATATAATGGAGATTGGAATCGAGGGAAAATATTTGAAGAATGATTTTAGAGATAATAAGGTTGGATATGATATATGAAGATTAAAATATAATCATTGGAATATCATGAGAAATTCTATAGATTATTTGGAAAATAAAATTCAATTTTCTAAAATTATATTCAAAATGCGTCTTTTTCTTTGTTTCAAAAGTCGGTTCTATGATTTATCATTTTGCATCATTCTTATAAGAAGAATATTTATATATATATATAAGATTGATTCTGAATATGAAGAAGATATGATATAAGAATATTTTTTCTATTCGATTTTTTAATTCTTTTGAATTCGTTTTTTCTGGAAAAAAATCTAATAGATAGATTGAAGATTGGTCATAGAACCTATATATAAAAAGGAGATATATCTAGATTTCATAGATCTTCGTTCTTTCTGCATGAGAAAAATTGAATTGAATTTATTTTATTTATTAGATGAGAATTCAATTTTTCATCTAAAGAAATCAATAATCAATTTCTATATATCTTTATATGATTCATTTTCTTTTCTCGGAGATTTCTATAATCTATTTATATATATATCTAAATTTTCTTAATATTTTTCAGAAATAAAAATGAAAAATCATAATTATCATCTTTTTACGAATATTTCTATAGCTAATATTCTAATTCAATAGATTCAGAAATTCATCATGAAATTATCTTATATAAATCGAAAATTGAAATATATTATTTCTATATATCCAAAATTTTATCTTTCAATTAATTTCAATGATTTTAATAAATAATCGGAGAATAATATTATTCATATTGATATTGAAAAATATATTTAGATCTAAGGGCTATGAAAAAAAATGAATTTCTCGTCAATATAAATGAATAATAATCGAAATATTCTAAATCTAATCATCCTAAATCTAATTCTCAAAAATTTATGATTCGATATCTTAGAGAATATATACGTATCAATGAATCTTATCTTCGATTTAAAATATCTATTTGAAATTTTTTCGATTTGGGATTCATATTCTTATTAGAATATTAATATTCAAGTTATAGATTGATCTCATATATATATGAATATATTCTTCTTTAATTCCTTCTCATTATATAATGAATCTCTCAGAAGAAAGATTATCTTTATTGAAATTTCTCTGATAGAATTATGAAGCAAATATATATTCATCATAAAGAATGAATTTATCGTAATTTGTGGTTTCCTAAGGATTCCTAATAAATAAGAAATATTTGAAAATCTTTATTTTGGATCAAAAGATTATTGAAGATAATCTCGTCATATATGATTTAATATTCTTTTAGAATATATCTTATAGATTCTTGATCTAATTGAAAATATCGAGATATGAGAATATTTCAGAAAAATATATATTCTAAAATCTTGAAGAATTCAAATTTAAGATATACGATTAATAATCAGAGGTTATCATATATATATATATATCTTTTTCTAATCTCCTCAAATCAATTCATTTATCTATCTCTAATATACGACGATTCGTCTATATTTGATAAAATATATTTCCTAATTTTTTCGAATTAGAAAATCTTGATAAATATCATTTTCAATAAATGACGAGAATCGATAATATTCAAAGATGATAGATCGTTGATATATCAAAGATGATCGAATGCAAATTTTGATAGATTAGCATAATATGAAATATGAATGAGATTCAATATCAGATAGATTCTCGGATTTCTCGATTTTCTTAATGAGATCTTGATATTCTTCATATACCCAAGAACGAATATCATAGAATTTCTCTCAAGAAATGATTCCAGAAAGATAAGATTCAATTTGAATGATGAGAATATAGAAGATCTGAATATATTCTATATTTTGAATTTAGATTTTTTTCATTCATATCTATTCTAGAAAATCATGATTTGAAGGCATATATGAATTTCAAGAAAAATTAATATTAGATATCATTAAAAAGATATAGGGATCGGATTAGAAAAGGGATCGGATTATAAAAGAGATCGGATTTGTATTAAATCAGATCTGAACGGAATAATATCAAAGAGATCGTATTAGAACCAAATCCAGCCTGAACGGATTTAAAAAATATAGGAATAGAAAGAGAGATATTCGCTTCTGAAAAATCCAATCAGAGAATAATCGACCTCCTAATTAAACATCTACGAAAGAAGAATAATATCCAAATTATAGATAATCATATAGTAAATCTTGAGATCTATAGATCTCAAATCTATTAAATATTTTTTGATCAGAAATCTATTCAATTCCGATTCTCAGATTCTAAATATATTAGAAATGATCGATTTCTTATAAGACCATTTATTCGAAAAATCCAGATAATCATCTCTATTAAGGGAGATTTTATCGAGACCTCCGAAATCGAATCATAAAAAAAAAAAGATACGGAATAATAAAGACTCTAGCTGGCAGCAATATTTGATATCGAATTAATATCTATTTGAAATCAATTGAAATTTATATAATTCTATTAAAATCTCAATTGAAATCGATTTCAAATCGATTGAAATCATTTCAATTCCTTCTAAGATCAATTAATATCGAACTAATATCTATTTCGAAATTTTATAATTTAATTAAATTTCTATTTAAAATCAATTGAAATCGAATTAAATTATCTTTGCAATCATTTAAAATCTAATATATTTCTATATAAAATGAATTGAAATCAAATCAAATTCCCCTAAAATCGATTGAAATCTAATATGAATTCCTTTTAAAACACAATCGGTCTCGAATCAAAATCTATATCAATTCAATTGAGATTTAATTAGAATTCTATATATTAGGATTCATATCAATACTAGGAGGGGGGAAGGGATTCGTTAATAATCTAGTTGTAAAATCCCAAATTTTAGTTCTGAGGGCTTAGGGCGTAAGAATTAAGATATATAGATTGTTCTAGGATATCTCCCAATCAAAATTTTCCAAATTAATATAATAGAATTTAATTGAGAATCTTCTAGATTAAAAATATATCTAATTAGAGATAGAAGCTATATATAATTTCCTATTAGATCATGATAGATATCTTTCGTAAACGATAAGACCTAAATATCTAGATTAAAATACGTATTCTAAATTCCAATATCATATATATCATAAATATCATCCCAATTATTATAATTATCTAAGAAATATCTTCTATTTCCAAAATGAAATGATAAAGAGAAAGTATCATAAATTAAGATATGAAATCTATTGGTATGAAAAAATATCGTTTTCTTCCGATCTTAATTGCAATAGCAGCTCTTGTAGAATATCTAAATATATCTATTAAAGAAATCTATCAATATTCAAAATGATTTTCATTTATTATATAGCTCATTTAAATTTGCTCTTTATTAATTAATTAAAGATGTCTTGAAAAATAATATTCTATTACGATTTAATCATTATGGTAATTAGATATCTAAAAATTCGTATATTGAATCTAATTTATCAATATCTAAACAAGATCATTTTTAGTCTGAAATTCTAATCATAAGAAAATTCATTAGAATCCAAATTAAATTTCTTTATCGATATCTATTCAGTTACCTACCTCTCTAAAAGAAAATAGATATCAAATAAATAATTTATTTCAAAAATATTAAGTTAGAAATCTTATATCAATCCAACCCTAATAAATAATATATTTTATTGGGATTCCAAGTGATTCACTACTAAAATTAATGGTATCTTTTAATATTTAAGTTGTAAAATTTTGATGCGAATTAGCCAACCAATTTTTTTTGCAACGCTCCAGGGCTAACCACTACAATCTTCAAGCCTAGATCCCAAACCACGCCCTGAAGCCACCTGCGCGGATTTAGATTGCACATGCCATACATCCGCGCAAGTTCTGAAATCAATAAGCTGATTCGCGGACAAATGGGCAGACGGAGAGACTGACAAATTTGATAAATCATGAGGTCGATAGATCGACAGACCGATTTGCCAACAACCGCGCCGATGGATTGCTTAATTGAAAAATTGATAGATTATTAGATTGACGGATTCTTTTGAGATTAGTTGATAGATTGATTGCTTGAAAGACCGACATTCAAGCGGGTGGTTAGACAAATTTTAGAGAATATCAGATCGATAGAATGAGAGTTCGATATTCCTAGAATACTCGTTAGAAATCCATTTGGGGGGGGCGAGGGCTAAAATCTTTGATAATTTAAGTCACCTTAAAGTATCGAAAAGTCAATTATGCCGACCGCTCCGGATTTAGGATCAAGAAGCGTACGTAGGGAGAATAACGGATCGGGGGAGTCCCAATGTTGCATTCTAGCCGTCCAGCCCCCTGAATACCCAGGTGCGCCAATCGAAACATGCCCAACCCGGCAAAGGCTCACGAAAAGGTTAGGTTCCTTAAAGTGGCCTCGATGCCTTTGGCCCCTGGCCTGAACGCCACCCTGGACTTTCTTTGCCGAAAGGGTCTCTGATCACTGGTGAAACATTCAATGATCTATTGCGGCATCCGCTTCTTTGGATCATCCAAGCCTCACCTTCATCCAATATTCATCTTGCCAATCTGTGATCAGCAGCTGCCTGGTGGCAGAATAAGCATATTTCAGGATGCTGCTGAGGTCGTCTGAGAAATTCTTCCATCTGCAAGAGCTCTGGAAAAGTATTACATGTTATGAGAGGGAAATAAGTGAAGTAGGAGATTGGACACTCGGTGACTCTCGGAGTCCATTGCAAATGTGAATGGATTTTCAGGTTGCGATTGTGGGCTTCTGCGCCTCAACAAGACAAGCACCTTTGCAAGCAGGCTGCTCTCAGACCCAGCAGGCATATTGACAACTCTAGCTCTCCGTCGACTAGTGGACAGACCCTTCACCAACGCCTCAGCTCCGGGTCGTGCCTGGCTTCCCTCAGCCTGCTACTAAGGCACAGTTCTTGATCACTAGACACACTGGATCGGGTGAAATGGATCAACGGCCCACAGCCCAAGGTGAATTGCCGCGTAGACTTAGCTTGACTTCACTCCTGCAAGCCCATCTCAATGCATGACAGTCTTGATGTCTTCATGTTGCCTGAAGCAAGTACAAGTACTACACCGTCTTGGGGGATGTTCATGGTGACTTCCTCTGGAGTTCAAAGGCTTCAGGGACACTGCCTCCAGCAGCAGGGCCTCCTCGTCACTGGCCTCGTCCTTCACAGTTACAGAGCACTGTTAATCCCACAGCGGCAATGTCAAGAAGATGGGAGCCTTTCCGGCCACATTTCGCAATATATTTCTTTTCCTAACACAAGGTGCTCAGCTGGCTGTGGCTTCGGCCTGGACTGGAGCAGGAGGATAGTAATCGTAGTTGTTGAACTCCTGGAAACTCGCATGGTGACTGAGCACGCACGAGCCGGATAAGAGATATCCTTCAACACACAGCAGAGCTTAGAACCTCAGCATGAGGATCAGCAGAGTCGGGACCGCCATGGGTTCCTGGCAGCTGCATGACAGCTGACATGGCGTATTGGCACCGCAGTTTCAACACTGATTCAAGCACAGGTCTATGAACCTTTTATTCTGATGCACAACAGAAGCCTTGCCATACATGGGCATGTGCAAATGAGAACCTGCTCAAGCTGTCGAGAGCCATTGTGCCCATAAGTCTACCAAACCTCCCACTAATCCTGACGGAAATCCAGGAAGTTTTCAGTGGAACTTGCATCACACTTCCAAATCCTTTTCTGCTCCTCCCGTAGAAGCAGCCAGCCCTATACACCAACCGGTGCAGCTCCAAGCGAGCTGCAAGCAGTCCGTGCGGACCATCAGTTGATTAAGTGGGTGTGCAGCAGTGCTCTCCACTTCACAATACTTCACATTTTGAACAACTTGCCGAGGTCGTCCTATGCTCCCTCTTCTGCTAGTGACGAAACTTATCGCGTAGCTTCATGATGCTGCACCCACCCGAATGTGCATGGACCATAACACGTTTTACGCTCGTCACAGCCCATACAAGAACGTTCGATTGGACAAGGCATGGTCAAGAGTTGCATTGCCGTGTCCTGTTGGGAACGCCGTGCTGCCGAAGTAGAAACTGTCGGGAAGTCGGCACAAAACTTCTTTGTCTTCATCGTTCTCAAAGTTGGTTGAGGGGATTTTGTCATCACCTGGGCACATGGTACCTGGCTTCAGGCTCAAGCTAGGATTGACCGGGAAAGTCATGGGTCTCGGGTTCAGCTCAAAGGATAATGCTCCACAATTGCTGGTACCATTGAAGGTTCTCGTGGCACGGTCCACCGGCGGGGCTGTGCTTGTAGACAAGCCAGCACATCGCCGGTCGAGCGGGTTTTGGCGGCCCGCTTGCTCGCACTGGCTGTGGAAGCTTTCCTCAGCTGTTGAAGCAGCTTCTGCTGCTTCAGCAGCAGGCTCGCCCTGGGTTAAAACTGCCGTGATTGCCTGGAAGCCTGCTTTTGCCGCCATGACGTGGCCTGCATCCTTCTTGCCACGGAAAGCAAACTTCACGACCGCATAGAATGCGACCAGGCTGTACGCAAGAAGCACGACGGGCGCAATAAGCCAGTGTATGAAATTGCGGCAGCAGCTTACGTTCTCCTTCACTGTCATGTAGCGGACGGCACAACGATCGATGCCGAAAGCAACTGCAAAGACACAGTATTGGAGCGCAAGGTTTGCCAGCCCAACGTAGCGAAGCTCGGGTCGGGGCCAGACTGATCCAGGAAGCGGAATTGCTGCCGCTGCCGTGAACAATCCTGCGCAACACAGAAGGATGGCATAGTACGTGAAAAACATGAGGAACCATCGAAAGCCTGCAAAGAATGGCCGACCGCGGTAGTGCGTGAGGAAATAATGAAAACTTTCAGACGAACCAATGATCCATCGCCGAATCTGGCGCGCCCACTCATCCACCTCCTCCCACCAAGTGGTGCCAATTGTTGGACCTGAGATGACTGCTACGGGCAACAGCTTTACTGGAATGCCGCATCGTGCGCTGCACATCATGCGGACGAGGAAGATGATGTCATCAACGCTGTAGCGGGGATTGATGAATCCCGCCTCCAAGCCCAGCTCTAGTGGGTATGAGAAGACGGACATTGGGTTCAAATTGAATGAAATCAGGCCACCAAGCATCATCAAGGACCGCATGATACCAGTAATGCGATTGAAGAACGGTCGCTGGTCTAGATTCCAGTTGTAAAACAGAGGACCCTGCCACACACAGAGATTCACCGGGCGACCTGTTCCCGCAGGGTTCTCATGATTGTACGCCTCCTCGAGCACTTCAAAGTAACGAGGGCCAAACAAAGTATCAGTATCACAAGTTGTGACGGTGTACGAGGTCTCTTGGTATTGCGTATCCATGCGCGAGACATGTTGGTGGGCAGTGCGCAAGGCAAAGTTCTTGTTGGAGCAACCCCCAGGAATCTCTGTTTCCCACTGAATCGTATGCACTGAGATGATCAACTCTCTAAAGCGACCCCCAAAGGCTTTCTTGACTGTGTCAATCTTTAACTGCACATCAGGCGTCTTCTTCTCAAATGCCACGACAACAACCAAACGCTCGGGATGCTGCTGAGACAGCAGTGAGCCCAAACAATCAAAGAGGATGTTGATGGGGTCCAAGTAGCATGGCACAATGACGATGTGCCGAAAACGTCGGCCTCCCTCCTCAACTGGCGCTGCTTGTGCATCATCCAAATGTCGCACAAGTGGTTCACGCATCATCCGCCACATATTCAAAAACGCGTTTCCAGCAATGATCACCCAAATCAAGCTGAAGAAAGCCATGGCAACCGCATTAATGTACGCAACATAGCTAGGGAGAGCGAAGTGCATCCAGACTGGGGCGGAACACAGGGCAACAACGATCAGTGTGTGCAGGAGGGTCCAGCGGAAATATGTGTTGCCACACTGCCCATCATCACTGGCCGGCTGCTCCCTGTAGCGTGCCAGGGGCGCAGCAGACACCATGGCAACCTCCCAAGTGTTCTGCGCGTGCGCGCAAATTTTAAAAAAATGATGAACGCCTTGAAGCAGAATTTGCGGTAGTAGGCAGAAGTCATAGCTAACATGGCGCGGCCACTTTTAACAAGCCATCTCCTTATCCACCACACAACATGAGCTGAAAGGCCGCTATAAGGCTGGCATCTATGCGCTCCTCGCAAATATTCAGTAAACTCCTGGCTGATTAATCTCACTTACCTTGACAAATACGGATAGACGCCATACAATAAGCCTGATTTTGGATCGAATTGTCGATGGACACGGAATGTGTGCAAGGCTCCTAAATTCACATCGCAGGTACGGGACTCCTTCCAAGGTCTCGCCTGCAACCTGAGCACAAGCTGAATTTGTCAGTACCTACTTATCTCCGTCAGGCATGCGCTTGCCATGCTCAACATATGACGCCTTTGCACCACCGGCATACCTTGTTGCAAGCCTTGGAAATCACAAGCCTTGCCCCCTTTGGGGGGGGGCAGAGGAACACGCAGCTCTGCCGGCAGGCAAATGCTCGTACTTATCCTTTGGACAGGACACAGGCCGCAATGATGCAATAGATCAGAACGTGTCTCTGCCAAGTTGGAAGGCCCAAAGATACCGAATCCGGCAGTCAACCGCCCAAGCTTCAGACCCCAGCGCGTGCGAGGAGCAAAGCGGCCCCTGCATCCTTGGGAATGGGAAGCGGATTCTGCGCGCTTGAAGTCCAAACTGAGCCCAATTAAAGCCCTTGACAAACTACTCCTGCAGGCAGGGCTGCACAGGACTCAGTAAACAATCTGTCCGGCAGGTGGCTGCATGATGGCCTTCACATGGTCAACTTAGAATCCAGGCTGAAATGATTGAGCCCGGAACAAGCGATCCTCGATCCACACATAAGCAGAAACAGGAAAATGGCCCCAGCCTCAGAACAAGGGCCATGCTGGATGCATGAACGCAACAGCACTGAAAGCTTCACAAGTGCCTTTCTAGAGGAGTTCTGTGGTCAGGCTGCCATGAGCTAGATGATGTCGGTAATTGAACCCTCCCCTGCAGGCTTAACAGAATTTGATCAGTATGTTCAGTGAGAAAGTGCCAAATGAATGTGGGCTAGTCTCTAAGCATGGTTCTGGGCCCTAGGCGTGCCACTCCCTGAAATAACTCTTAGAACACGCTAAAGGAGAGTGAAGCCTCAGGAAACTGCTTTCAGGAGACTTCAAGCATGCCAAGCCATTGTTCCAGATCTCAGGGAGCAACTTCATGGCAAGCTGCGGCTCAACACCAGCCTGACCGGCTGCTTGTTGCGATATACTAGAGGGCTGCAGCTTCCAAAAAAATCCTTTGCGTCTCGAAGCCCCCGACATTCCAGGTCTGTGTCCCCACTATCACCCCTTTGCATTAGCCAGCAAGAGCCTCCCTCTCACATCGCCTAGACACAGCTGTAAAACTGCCCAGCACATCCCGCGTGCAGGCATGGCATGGCCTGCTCTGCCAGGGCAAGCGCCATGTTTCAGCTCTGTGCTGCTTGTTATCCCAAAGCATGCGAAAACATGACAACCACAACAACTCTGACAACGTTCTCTGTTTGACGTCGGGTGGCTGCCAGCCTTTGGGCTTCCATCTACTTCCAGTTACCAAACCACCGCCCAGATCTCTCTTGCATCATCTGGTTACAATCCCGCGCTGCATAGCCAAAGAGTCCAAAATTGACGTCTGACAACAAACCAATGCTACGCACCATCCTCTGAGCACAGCAGGTTGCGGCTGTGAACAGGACCTGTCAGTTTCGTCCTCCTTGGAGGGCCAGCACTGCACCCTTTTTGGTCAAGATTCCTGACTTGACTTCATTAAGCTCACGCTCCACTTGCAGGGGGTTGAAAAATTATGGTGCTCTCTTGTCCGGGGCAATATCATCACAGATATCACTTATTACTTTATCTGCCTTTGTTCTCCTTATCATGGTGGGGGTCCACCAGATATTAACCACGCAACAAAGAGCATGCACCGAATTCGCAGCTCCGATCCAGATCAACAGTCATAGAAACTAAGCTGAACTGTCAAGGCAAGTGGGGTTCACAATAGGGGCGCGGAGCTGGTGACACTTGAGATGCTTGCAGTCGCCGTGGGGCGCTGAACTGAACATGTTAACATGATTTAGACAAATGTTTGCAGGAATTGGCGTACGAATGTGTGACTGGTCCAGGGCAAACCTCGGACTCCTCGGAGGTCTGCAACTCAGCTCCTAGAACCAAGCAGGTTCAGGAGTGAAAAAACAAGAGCCTTTCCCCCTTTTGACGTTCGTACGATTGAGATCTTGCCTCCTCCGGGCATGCCTTCACAGGAAAATGTTCTAAATCTCAAGAACAATCAAAAACAAGTAAGCTACCTAACACGGGCGAGCTTGCTAGCATCGTTCTCTGGCTCCCCGAAAGTACCAGCGCTGCAAACGGGAGCAGTCTGCAGCGCTGAAATTCCGTATAAATGCTCAAGGGCACGAGCAGATATGATAACGCGAATCGGGCTGAGCAGCTCTGCAGTTTCTGCTCAACAGAGAAGCTGGTAAGCACTCTGCTTGTCCCCTTTGCTCACGGAACCGTGATCAGGCGACAACATGAAAAGATGACGCCTTTGATGGGGTGGCCCAAAACTTGGCACCCGGATTCATAATTTGAGGCAAAGGCAGCGAGACCCAACAGCAGTCTTTGCAAGCATCGTTTCAGGTCTAGGCCGGGGCCTTCATGCTCAAAAGGATGTGCTTGGCTGCGGCTGTTGGTCAAGCTGCTGCGAGAACGGCTGGCGTGAACCAGCAAACAGGCGAGGAAAAGCAAGCGGGGGCTGGAGGTCGCAGGGCCCTCACATCTCTAGCAAGCATGGCGGACTGTCATAAATTCTTGCTTCCTGAGTTTTTGCACTATGAGCCCTTGCCGCTTACTTCTGCAATAGTGCTACACTTGGCCAGGAAGTGATTTCTGCCCTTTGATGAGCAATGTGGGACAGATTCGTTTAGGAGCTGCAGGACCTTTGAGCTGTTCGGAGGGCAGAAGTCTTTCTCCAGTCAAAACTCATGGACTATGCATGTTGCGTGAGGGCAGTGGACGCACTCACTTGGAGACCTGCATGTGGGCTGCGCTGCAATGGAGCTAGATAAAAAGGCACGGCCATATGGGGGAATGACTTCGTACCAGATCCCAGTCACAAGGGCCTGTATCAAGCTTCCAAAAGAATCTGGCCAAACTTCACCTTACGCGCCTGTATGTGCCTAGCTCATACTAGCTCAAAGCCTGCCAGTTTGATTTCGTGCGGCAAGCTGAAATTCAAGCACGCGCAACTGCTCCCCTCATGCCTCACGGCGGAGCGCGTCCCGCCATAGGCGCCTCACACGCACCTGTGGAGTGCACGCGCAAGAGGAGAGTTTGTCCCACTTGAAGCAGTTGCATTCAAGTTTGAGGGGCTCAGTATGAGCATATGCCTCACAAGCAACAGTACAAGCAGAAAGACGCAACCTGCTGGTGAAGAAGACGGCGCTGCTGTTCCGTTGACTGCAAGAGGTTCAGACCACTGTGCCTCGCCGCATGACATGGAAACTGCGTGGCCAGTCGAAGGCACGATTCCTCCCTGCTCTCAGTCGCTTCAGGGTTGTTGGTTCCGATGTGAAGTGGAGGGACTTCAAAAGCCTTCGCCGCAGTCTTGGGCGCGGCGCTGGGGCGCGGTTCGGCGGCACCTTCTCTATACACAAAATGACCCAGAGCAAGGCGGAAGTCTCTGAACGAACGTGAGCTCTGCATGGGCATGATATGTGGCTGGCTGAAACTAGCTGTTTACATGAACCGGAACAATCTCATGCGAACAGGGCTGTCTGGCGCGAAAACAATTGCGGAGCCTGTCTTTTTGATGGGCGCGTGTCTCCAGCTGGCAATTAATGTCTGTACAGAGTCTGGATATATACATATTGCCTCGCACCAGCACTGAACCTGCGCACCTCGTTTCGGGGGCAAATCCAGGCCGTGTGCACAAAATGCTAGAAGTCACTTTATCAGTTCGTTCAAATCCACGCCACAGAGATGCTGCACACGCACACATCAGGCATCATAGTAGCAATGCCACAGCAGTCAACTTCCATCATCCCAGGTTGCGTCACAATATGTAAACTTTAATTAAAGCAGATATCTTCACACTACTTAGGCTGATGGCAGCCGCAACTCTCGGCACTTCATTGGTCCACGAGGATACCGGATAGCCCTTTGGACTAAGTCACTCGCAAGGAGGTGCGGCAATCACCTTAGGCTGCGGTTGGCATTGTCAATCTTCCTGTTGTGCGCGGAGCCATCAATTAGAGCCTAGACGGTCTGGCAGCAGACATACTTTCGCATGATACGGCCGCTGGAAATGACAGTTGCCTGCGAGACGGCTTGAAAAAGAAGCAATCGCTTGCAAACAAATGGTTTGATTGAAAGTTAATGTTCACAGCAGCAAGAATCTAATTGGATCCAAGTGCGATCTTGTCGAGCATCTTGAGGAGCTGAGTCGAGTAGTGCCCGGCAAAATCCACCACCGTTGTAATGGTGGCGAAGAATGCAATGATGCCGGCCGTATCGAGAAGCGCATGCTCATTGCTTGCTGCAAGAAGTGCTTCCCGTGCCACACGGATACGGTCAACGTTCCTTGGTGTCAGCACCGACGCGCACACCAAACTGACGTGTAAGCCTGACCTGTGCATGGCAAGTGCGTCCTAATCTAGCCCAGCGATGGGTTTACGATGTTTACACTGTCTCTGCCCTGGTTTCTCTGGCGATGCTACTGCATCCGCCAGCTCGGCAATCTCGTTGTGCAGCGGATGATGCCCACCACCCAGGACGGCAGTTTCAGATACTACAGCCATGCTGACGTGAGCATCGGATCAGAAGCCGCAGGCCTTCCCAGTTGTGTAGTTTGCAGCTGCAACTTCCAACTGCCCACGATTCAAGGTGCGATCCTTGCCAGGGACCCTCAAGAATCGTGGAGCATCGCTCACTGGCAAATACATCACATCCATGAACTTGAGGAATTCCCAACAAGTAAGCGGTGCGGAGCTGGCTTTGGATGTTGGGCCCGTTGGATTGTCACCGGCAAACGTCCACAAGGCCCTGTCAATGCCATAGCGCTCTGATACGTCCTCCCGGAGCTGGGCTGATGGCAAGGTCGGAACCCACGAAACTGATCTGTCTGTGGGCATGACCCCTGTGGAGTAGTCAGAGACAAGTCGAAAACGTCCAGGCTTGCATGGGACCGGCTTGGCTGGCAAAGGAGGCGGTGTGTACCCCGTAGCTGCACAAAAGGCTCTCACTCCTGCACAAAGCGATGCAATCGTATTCAGCTCCACTGCCATTGCCTTAAACTCATACTCCCCAAGCTCAGGTTTGTCCGCATGATACGCCTTGAGCCGCTGCAGCACCTCGTCAAAGAAGGTCTCGTCAAGCTTTTCTTGCCGGTTCACGATGGCATGTGCAAAGTCCCTGAAAGGGCTTTTTGTCACGAAGTCATGCTCAATCTCGTCATGGTTGTACTCTACAAAGTTGGTGCCTTTGGGGGGCAACATCTCCGCTTTTGCTGCAATGCATCCCTTGCAGGATCCCCAGGCAGCATATGCTTCTTCCGCGAAGTCCGCTCTCAAATCTGAGGACAGGAGGTCCCCTGGCCCTACAACCGCGTGAAGGACTCGAGAGATGCTGTCCAAGCAGTTCTTCTTGCGTTCGGCCGTTCTTTGGGGTGAAGTGGGCACTCCCTTCTCGTAATAGCCCGTGAAGAAATTGTAGAGCACGTCGCGAAGCACAGATGCCATTAGCTGGGCCTTCCCCATAGTCAGGCAGGTCTAACACCAGGCAAAGCGATTTGGATGATCTGCGAGTCTGCAAGTGCCAAAGCTTCTTGGATTTTCTTGGGCAAGAATGCCTTGCACAGACAAACACCTTGCAATAATTGGCTAGGGCACAACAAGAGCATGAGTTTGGGAAGAACCGGCATCTTGAGAAGGCCACCAGTTCATGAGCCCGGAATGCAGATCTGTGCCCTAAGGCATCCGCCCTTGGCTGCCATCGGCGCAAGGAGTTCCCGCAGCTGCAGGGCAAACTGCTGCTGCTGACCTTATTGCAGCCGTCAACGCGCACGGCTTGTTCTCCAAGTGTAGACCGTCAGAACCTACGGTAGATCTTATCGCAACGTCATCAGTGATGCCTCCTTTAACCTGGACAGTATTGCAAACTGTCCAGGTGCCCACACTTCCCACGGCGGAAGGCGCCACCTTCACTGCTCTGACGTTTCAGGGCTTGGAGCTTACCAGTCAAAGTCTCAGCTTTCTGGGAACTGTGATAAAGGTTGACAGCACCTTCTTGTCTTTGCAGACCTTTCTTTCAATCTGATCTGCCACCAGTTCAGCTTCGTGTCTGCGTCTTGATCTTGAATATCCAACCAACACAAGAAGATTGCAGCTGCGTTCAGTGCCTGGCTATGCTCACATGCAGATGTTTGACACATACTGGCCATTTAGCGCCTTGGCCAGCTCAGCACTAAGGGCGGCTAGCACCTCGCTCGCGCCTGAAGAAATGCTCCGACATGAAAGCCATCACGACTTCTCTCAATTTGCCCATATCTAAGTTGCGCAGCTGACCGAAGCTGGAATCACAATTGCGATGCAGATAATGTCTGGCATTCTGCCTAACAAGAAGTAAACCTTGCCTGGTGCCGGAGCAGCTTCCTGTCCAGATTGGCAGCAGGACAGCGACATCAGCAGCGTTGTGCTAGGCACGCAGACAAACTTGCTTGATCACTAGTCAGTAGCTTGCGCTGGGTGACCGAATCACGGCCTTGTTTGGCGGCCATGTGACCGCCCAGTCGGGGCGCTCGGCAGCGAGCCTGCAGACTTTGCGGGTGTAATATGCGCAGAAGCTTTGCAGATTTTACAGGCTAAAGCTGCTTGTGCCTTAATCGACAGGGGCTTGGCGGTCTGTTCCAGCCATCGCCGCGTCTCTCACCGGCCGCGGACGATGATCGGTGATGGTTTCCTGCTCCCGGCAGTGACCACCAAGTCAACTTGGAAAGAAGGCAACGAAAGCTAGAGGCAGCAGTGGAAGGCAGAGAGGAGCCATGCAATGACAGGACTGAGGTTGAGCAACAGCTTTGGAACGAAATGCAACGGGGGTGGAGAGGGGCCGCTTGCTATTGATTGGATCAATCTTCAAAAGGAAGGCCCCGCCCCCCACAGACCCGCTTAAACACGCTTAGAAATTGACCCGGGTCCACGTTTTCGCCGACCATACGAGAATTACTGCAAGCTCCAGCAGAACCAGCTTCTGAAAATTGTTGCCCTTGGGGTGCCTGGGCCTGGGCCTCGCCGGCGCGTGGGCGAGAACGTGCGCCCAGACGGCCCAGACGAGGAGGGTCTCGCAGCCTGGCGGGTGGGGAGCCCATCAGACGAAGCTTTAACGTATGCGAGGGACATGTCACAAGATGTTCAGTCCAAACCTGTCCCTCATACTACCGTCACAACTTCCATCGCATACTTTCGCTACATGGCATTCGGCTGAAAGTTACGGACAGCTGTGACCAGAACACCGGAAAAAACACGTCCAGGCAGCAGCAACTGTTTCCCCCACGGCCGTGCTCGGGACCTTTCAGGCAATGTCAGAGAGATGTTCTGGCAGGTTCCAGGCAAGCTGAGTGAGGCTCAATTTCTTAACACGGTAGCCCCTATGGGGCCAGAAGAAACATTGCTAGAAAGATCCACATGTGTAGGTCCCTCCCTCTTGTATGAGGCCACGGCAGAGCCCCAAAGCATGCGCCAGCGCTGGAGCTCAGACCGTAGGGATGTAGCCATGGCCTCCCAAGAGCAGGACGGGCACAAAGATCATGAGCGCTTCCCTCATGTGAAGGGAGGGTGAGGTGAGATTAGGACTTACTTAGTTGAGGTTCCCTAATTAATTTTGTGTGTACGTAAGAAGACAGGAGCGTTGAAAACTGAAAAGCAGGTTGCCTGATCGCTTTCCTCATCTTCAACGTAACCCTTCCCCATGTGATGCACGATGCGCATTTGCAGTGACCGTGTAACGACAACACTCCATAGATTCATTGATAGACATACGCTCGGCAAAGCAATGATGAGAACGATGGAAAGCCTAGCTCATAGTAGCAGTTTCCATTTTCTTTTCCATTATCCCAATATTACCCCAATATACTATAGTAGTAGTTTCCACTTTCTTTTCCATTATCCCAATATTACCCCAATAGAACCCTCATTATCCCGATTAACAACTCCAATATATACCGTATAATCCTTTTGTAAGCCCTAGATAAACCCTGTAATCCCTATAGTTTCCATTTTCTTTTCCATATAAACCCTATAACCCTAATAAACCTATCGGTTTTTGGCGCCTCTGCAGCGCCCTTCTCCTCGAGGAGCCGCGCTCGCTGCGTGTCGAGCTGGGAGCAAGCAGTCCCATTGCTTTCAGCTTGGAATCATCTTCAAATCGGCTATTGGGGTAATATTGGAAAATAAAACGGAAAGTACTATAGTGTTTTGGGGATATTCTTGGGATAATGGAAAGAAAATGGAAACTACTATAGTATATCGGGGTAGTATTGGGATAATGGAAAAGAAAATGGAAACTACTGCTATAGTATATTGGGGTAATATTGGGATCTACATCCCAAGAACAAAGTCCATGAGGATTGTTCAACTTGCTTGGCATCAGCTCATGGCTTTAGCTGGCTCCCCAGAAGTTCTGCAAGTTCGGAACGTGCCTCTCCAAGCCAGGGCAGGAGCTGAGCGACAACGGCCTTGCCACGCAGGACTGATTGGGATAATGGAAAAGAAAATGGAAACTACTATAGTATATTGGGGTAATTAATAGGGATAATGGAAAAAAATGGAAACTACTATAGTATATTGGGGTAATATTGGGATGACTGTATCCAAGGGCCTGAGTAAGTAGCAATAAATACACACTCAAATGAAAGAGATCGTGGAAAGTTGCCTGGAAACAGAGTTTATAATGGCATAAGGATGTTTCCATGTTTTGCTGCAACAGTTGGGGTTGTGGATGCCATGTTGTCGAAGTCTCGGATGACCAGTTGGCATATCCATGTGCTTGCATTCAAAAGTGATTTCTAAGCAATACTCACCGTTTGCTCGCCTACTATGGCAGCCAACCAGCCCCTCAGTCCTCCGTATATACCCAAAATGCTATAATCCATATTTACAGGGGAGATTGTAAGGACATACACCCCATGTGCCCAAAATATAATTATCCTGATTATAGGGGCACATACCCTGAACCAAATCGATTGTACGTATTTATATATGTATATGGTGCCCCCCCCCCCACGTACCTACCTTTTTTATTGTTTCTTGTCAGATCTTTCAGATGCCTCAACAATGTTGGTAGAAATTTGGAGCTGCATCACCCTGTGAAACAATCAAAACATTGGTTTTGCCAATGTTTTCTAGCTCCTACAAAAACATTGGTTTTGCCAATGTTTTTCTAGCTCTAGGTGCAGAAAACATTGGCAGGGCC